TATATTTTCTCTCCTGGAGATTACTATGGGCGAATAATCAACGTCCTTTTGATCTTCTCTCTATAGTCTCACTCTATTGTGCAAATATCTACTGGCGGCTCGTTTGAAATTATTTGCACCTAAATAAAAATGAATATGGATGACCATTGTGTTTTCCTGATAAGCTTGAGGTTGCTTGACCAACGATCTGTCCAACCCTTGGCTTGGCAATGAAAATGGAAATGCTAAGGTCTGGAATTCTATGTTTTGGGGCTTCCAATGTAGAATAGAATGGTAGGTTACATCGCCATTTTACCATTTGACTGTGAGTTGCCACTAGCCAGCAACATTCTTCAATCTCCCCCATTATGTTTATTTTTTTAAAAGAAAAGTTTTCATTTTTTTTCTTTAGAAGAAAAGCAAAATTAGTTATAAAAAATTGTTGTGTAATTTAGATCATATTAAACTACATAACATAAAATATTAGATGAGATAGATATTAAAAGTTGTTCTTACTTTTTATAATTCTTTTTTTTACAATTTAATAAAGAATTCTCAGTTAGTTATTGTCCTTAATTTTATATTGTGGGGTTTTTTTTTTTCTTTTCATTTTTTACAACAATACTAGACCTGCAATGATTTAAACTTTATAGTACAAAACTTGAAAGAGATATAAATTTGAAACTTATCTTTTAATATCTGCAGATTCTGAACTTTACCACTTTCTTTCTAAACAATACTAGGTATTGATTTTTCCCATTAAAAAAAAACACACACACACACACACTAGGCATTGATTCAAAGTCATTCAAGAATTAAACCTAGACAAGTTAACTTTTTCTTCTTTCTTGTAAAGAAGATACCTCATTTATGTCACCAATGCATATGTAGGAGTAATGCTTTTTAATCCCAGAAAATCAAGAAAATGCATGGCAGAACAAATTTTCGAAAAGCCAGAATGGTTTATCTGATGGGCAGTTGAGAGTTCCCAGAAAAGAAAAATGAAAAAAACACCCATGTGGTATTCACAGAGCTAGAAAGGTTGGTCTGGCTAACTTTTTCTGACCCTTTGTAATTTGTTTAGAACGTTTGGTTGGATCATGGTCCGGTATGACTCCATGCCCAAATGGCCAATGACCGGTTCAACCGGTCATCTCCTCGCCAATCTACCATTCAATCCAAAACCGCTGTATTTCTTCCATTGGGTGCAACATTGTTTCCAATCCCTCAATACAAAACCCACAACTGTCTTCCTTTCTCCCACCCCTGCCCCTTCATCCTATATATAAACAAACACCACTTTCTTCAACATTTTCTCTTACAAAATCTCAGAGAACAAAAAAGCAATAACCTCTCCCTCTCTGTCTTATTTTAACATTTCTGAGATTTTCCCATGAACCCCATTTTTTGTTTCATGGTATTGCTACATGCATTCAGTCTCAAACAGATGCATATCATAGGCAGCCAGGCTTTATGTCAGAGGAAGGGACTCTTTGATTCGGGTAAGTTTGAAAATTTTAGTTTTTGGTTCTGTTTTTCTTTCTATGTTATTTTTCATGTCAATACATTAAGTTAGGTAGACCTATAAAATGTGTTGAGAACGTTGTTAGAGTTTGATATGATCAAGAAACAAGGACTAATTAATCTATTTGGATATGTTATTGAGACAGTTTTTGTGTTTGGAAGATGGATTGAATGGTATTTGGTTTCTTAATTTCTTGTGTTATTTTTTTAAGAAACAGGGGAATTGAGTTAGTTTGTGGAGAAGGGTAGGTTTGAATGGTATATGTAATATTAATGTTCAATTTCTTTGTTAAAATTGTATTTTTGGATAAATAATTTGTGAAAACATTATGATAATAGTAATCTAGCTCAAAGATGGATTAACTTTGAGTGCAAATGTAGAAACATATACATGTGACAATAATAATGGCATGTTGCAAGTCTAGACCACATGGAAGATGGAACAAAGGCATGGTTATGCGGTTTTTCTTTTCTTTTTCTTTTTTTTTACTTGGTGGAGAAATGCTAAACTTGTTGCAATCGAAAAATGTATAATTACGAGTGATACAAATAGGAGAAAACAGCTATAGGATGACATGATATGAAGATCTTATAAGTATTATCAGCATGATTAAATCTTTGGGAAAAGGTGGGGTCATCTTGCATAAAAATAAAATTTAGTATGTGTTTGTCTCAACTTTTAAAAAATCTTTTCCATTGCAAAAGTTTGTGCAAGACCAAAACAATTTTTCGAAAAGCTTTTTTCAACTTGAACTTTTTATTTTGTACAATTTAAATTATACTTAATTATAAAATATAAATTATTAGATAAAAAAATAATTTTCAATATTAAGAAACTCATCCTTGTTAAATTACTTGAGTTGTGCAATTTAGATTATTTCAAATTGCACAATACTTTTTTGTTTCAACTTAAGGACTAAACATTAAAACTCCTAACTTATTGTCTCTAGGATAAATCTTCCGCTATTATACTTCTAAACTTAATCATTTAATCAATTTTTAAATTTTTTTATTAGTTTTTTATACAAATGCAATGATTTAACACTCATGCAAAAAACTTTACTCAAATGATTTGTCTTTTGATTTGTTTAATCATTTTTGTGGAATGAAACCATGTTAGAGCTTGTCTTATATGGTAAATACTTCATATATTAGATATGGTCGAATTTAGAGAAGACCTTCTAATCATACATGTACAGAATAAACTACTGTATGGATAAGTGAGGGACACTACTGGACCGTTGGGCTTTGTATTTAAAACAACAATAAGGGGCATTTTGGGTGAAATTGCAAAGAAAAAAAAAATGAACGGAAAATTGAAAAGGTCAAACAAGTTGTAGAAGGTAGACTTACTAAATACGGGTCTTCGACTAGTCAAACATCTACCAATCAGATCTTGCAATGTGGAGACTAGTAGTTTGAGACTTCTGTACCAATGGGTCAAACACGTTCTTTCAATTAATATCATTTTTTATTATGGAATTGAGATTAATGAAGATTGTATGCAAACATTTGAACACGTACTTGGTCTAATACACGAAAGCTGTTAGTTAACTTTGTTAATGGAATGAAAAGTTTGTTATTTTATTATAACTAGAATTTGTAATTTCTTATTATTTACGGGGGGGTGTTTGGATTAAATTTTTTTGATAAAATTGATGATCAATAATTGATATTTAACGATTAATAATTATTATAATTTATAATTTAAAATATTTAATTCATTTAATCAAAATCAATAATTAATAACTATTTATAAAAGGTCAAAACAAACGTCTCATGAGATGGGTAAAAGGAAGTTGACCTAAGAAGTAAATGGAGGTGAAAATGTAGGTCTAAAATTTATCTTTGGTAGGGCAAAGCTAATACTTTAGGTATATATGTGTTCTAAATATTAGGTAACTAGACTAGAAAACAAGACTTGACCAGTAGTTCGGATTAGATGAAATTTAGGAGGAATATATTTCTTTTCTTTTATTTCCTTCCGTTCGGACTGGTAGTTTTGTGGGTTTTCTTAAGTTGGAAACTATTGCATCTGAGTTGGGTTTAATAATGGGCCTATCCTAAAAAGGCCATATGTAGTTTATTTTTCTATAATGGGCCTTTTCTAAAAGCCCAACTTTGGTGTAGTTTCTAGTTTGAAATAGAGCTTTGCTTGGACCTCATTTTGGGCTCAAAATTAGGTGAGCCCAATTGGCCCACGTGCGATAAATAAACATTTCAATTTCAAAGTTAAGACCAAAATCTTCCACTTCCCATCCAGTAGAGGATTTGAGAACCTAATTTGTACACTTTGCCTGCTTACAATTTGAAGTGCTTGGCATGGCATGAGCTAGTCCATAGAGTAGTTGTGTAGCATATTGCCAAAATTTTAAAATATTTTTGACATAAAAAAATTTGAGTGGCTAATTGAAATGACCTTGTTTTTTATGGTTCAGGAGGCTTTGCAAATGCGAATTTTTTGTTCAAAAAAAGTTTCAGTGGCACATAATGTAAGTCTTCTCTCTTGCTAATAGCTAGTAAGCGGTAGCTTCCCCTTGCTTTTATATGCCCTTATCATTTGCAATATAATTATTGACGGATATTTAAGTTAGAAAGCTTTATGTATATATAGTTGGAAGGTACGTATGATTAAGTTTTTGTGCATAGCTAAGTTTAATATAGTGTGGAGATCCTGTATATATTAGGAATTCACTTACTTAGTGCAAGCTTAATTATAGAAAGATAAGCAAAGTAGGAAATTTAAGAGAAATCTCATTTTGGATTATAAAAATGGTTTTTT